CTAGAGACCTTCAACAGCTGAAGGGCCTCACAGAAACCCCAACCCTCAATAACAATAGAGAATGGATTCACCAGAAGAAAATCAAACTTCTTGAATCTGATTGGTCATTTTAGTGGAGCTGAAGAGATGTGTTGAATCCAGTAGCTGCGTTTCCATTACAGATGTGCACAAATCTTTATCTATATTCTGCTCATGTAAAAAAAAACAAAACAGAATTTTTGTTTATGGAAACAACTGCAATGTTTCCATAAAAAATTAAATGAAATTAAAATCACACTTAAGTCATTAAAAATGACGGTGGAGACGGAGGAAAGAGTTATGTGAGATTTATTTACGCAGCATTTTGATAAAATTATAGTCGGCCATTGTGCAGAAGGGTTATGGATTCAACATGTTGGACTGATGTACAACTGAACTGTGTGATGCTGTGAGAGCAACTTCAATGTCCCAAAAAACAAAAACAAGCTATCATCTTCCTACCACTTCCTGTCGTCTTCTTCATCGTTTCTGCCAGTAGTAACATCTGGTTGTTGATCAAATGACTGGAGTGACGCAGTTTTGGGAATCACATCTCATCCTAGTGCAAAAAAACTAAACAAAAAACTTAAAAAATAAAATAAATAAACTCAGCTGATGTCATAGTTTTATTTTTCTCCCTTTTTTATTTTTGTCTTTAGCTAACGCCAAACTGCAGGAATAAGCATCCACCGTGTGAAACATTTCATCAGACAGCAGTGAAACAAGGAGCAGGTAGAGAAATGACTGATCGGCTGACGGAGATTCATTGCAGCCGTCACTTTAATGATTTACTGCGCTGCGGAAAACCCACTGCTCTCTGATTACATCCTGTACATCAATGTCTACCAACACGATTGTTTTTATATGAAACAAATTGTACAAGAAGCCCTCTCTGTTTAAGACCTAGATGTGGGGAAGAAGAATCTATCAAGCATGTGTTTTGGTCATGTCATTTTGCAAAAAAGGTTTAGCTATTAATGACACCATGGTTGAACAATCTAAGTGAGGAAACAATAACATATGAAACAATGTGGGATTTTGAAAGAAAAGCAGGAAAGAAATGAATTACTTTGGTGGCAGTTAATTAATTGTATCAAAGAGGTAATTTGGAAAGCAAGAAACATCTGGGTTTTCAGGAAATATGAAATAACAGAGAAAGAGGTAATAAAGATTGTGGGCTTCCAGATAAAAGACTAAACCATAAAGGAGAGACAAAAGGGAAAGGAAGAAGAGGAAATATTAATATGGAAAATTCCAGCAGAATTATTAAAGATAATTAAAGGATTGATGAGATAGGGAGGAAAAAAAAGGGGAAAAGTTTCATTGGATGGTTTTTTGACGTGTTTTTTTTTTCTTTTCTTGTGTTGTTTGTGATTTTATTTTAAGGGACTGTCTTCTTTTCACTGATTCCTTGTTTTTGTTGTTGTTGTGACTTGTATTATGTGCAAAGAACAAATAAAATCTATTGAAAATTTAATTGATCGCCCAGGGTGAGGATCAGCCATTGCACTGCAGCGATCTGACCTCTGTGATGGTAGTGGGGGACTGCGTCCGCGCTCTCCCCTGGGATGAATGTTACATGATAATACATGAGCTAATATCAGATAGTTTCTGCAACATATTGATTATTGGTTACTTGTTGCAGATTTAATCAGTTCTAATATATTTAGGTTAATTTGAGGAATAAAACAAATTTTAAACACTAAAATTGCATGAAAATGCTTCAGCATTCTCGCAATGCATTGTGGGAGCTATAAACCATCTATATGTTGGTTTATTTTGATTTCTCTTCTATATTTCTTATTATTCCTCTTCGTGTCTGATTGTGTTTAGTTAAACATTAAACCCTGAAGTGACGGAGGGAATATTTGAATCTCCCACCGTGAGTCAGAACCGGAAGTGTGACGTAGTTAATGGTCAGTCAGAGAAATGAGGGACATACTTACCTGGCAGGGGTGACTCCATGATCCTGTAGGTGGATCGCCCAGGGTGAGGATCAGCCATTGCACTGCGGCGATCTGACCTCTGTGAATTCTCCACATGGAGAATCTCAACTGCACAATTTATGGTAGTGGGGGACTGCGTCCGCGCTCTCCCCTGGGATCAATGTTACATGATAACGCACCTCTGCAACATATTGATTATTGGTTAAACCAGTACTTAATGCTGCACTAAGTAAAATATTTTAAACGTATTTCATTGTCATGTCTGTTTAATCTGTTAATTCTGTGAAAAAATTTGTGGTTCTTAAAACGAAAATATTGTCATGGCCAGGTTGAAGTTATAAAATCTATTAATTTAGAAAACTAGTCATTAAGGCTGTGTGCTGTCACTTTAATAAAAATTTTGTCATATTTGCTTAAAACATCTGTGTCATAACAGTGTGAAGCAGTGCATCAATGTTCCAACAGAGGGCGCTGTTGCTCTCGGTAATTGCTGCACTATCGCAATTGTAACATGTTTGTCCTACCGGGGACTCCGTAGTGCTGTATTCCTTACAGTATGTTTATTGCCTGCAAGGTCAGCAGCAGCTCTGCAAGCCCGTGTAACATGTGCATCAGATTAATATACCGAACCGTTTCTGTTTGTTCGGTTGGCCAGTTCGGTTCGAGTTGCTTTGTTTGTACTGGTGATGTTTGATTGTTGTGCAAAAGGAAAAGCGACTGAATGGTGACAGTATGTTTATTGCCTGCAGGGTGGATGGAATAAACGCGCCAAAGTGTGAAGAGAACAGAGTCTGATTCCTGCTCACATCCCGCCCTCATCATGAAACACAACGCAGAGCCCGCAGGGTGTCTTCCATCAGCCGCAGGTTTAGGGACGGAGAGCCCGGGTTACAACACAATAATAAATACACTGCAGTAAGAATACATGTCCACCAAGAAACTCATAACTTTGAGACTCATCTCAATAAATGACTTGGACATTTCTGATCTCCAATGGATGATTATTTGCAAGGGACAAAATAATACGTTATAAGTTTGAAATGTTTAAAATTTGCTGGAAAAACTCAGAAATTATCAGATTCATCTCCGAAATTTCCGAGCAAAAACCAAACGAGGAAAAACTGAAAATTCACAATTTTTCTAGAAAATCCAGAGACTTCTGAGATTAATCTCTGAGTGGAAATTTACTTCTATCTTATTCTTTGTCTTCATGCCGTCGTAAATATCTGACAATCAGAGAAAGAATCGAGCTCCTCTGTCTCTCCCAGTGCTCCCAGTACAAACTGCAGAAACTCTCCAGTTAGTGGGAAGCATCCAGGCAGGGGCGGGGCTTAGCGCTGTCAATCACTCTGGTGAATAGCTGCGATAAAACAAAGTGTATCTGTTTGTCATTCATTCAGTTGGTTTATTTATTGTTATTAATGTCATTCCTTGCTCTGACCAGCAGGTGGCAGCAGCAGAGCGGCCAGGAACCCCGTTATTGATGCAAGATAAAGATTTCCTTTGATTTCCTTTATATTTTAGATATTTCAGTAGAAATTAGTTAGTTGTTGCAGATGTAATCAGTTCTAAATATATTTAGGTTAATTTGAGGAATAAAACTAATTTTAAACACTAAAATTGCATGAAAATGCTTCAGCATTCTCGCAATGCATTGTGGGAGCTATAAACCATCTATATGTTGGTTTATTTTGATTTCTCTTCTATATTTCTTATTATTCCTCTTCGTGTCAGATTGTGTTTAGTTAAACATTAAACCCTAAAGTGACGGAGGGAATATTTGAATCTCCCACCGTGAGTCAGAACCGGAAGTGTGACGTAGTTAATAGTCAGTCAGAGGAATGAAGGACATACTTACCTGGCAGGGGTGACTCCATGATCCTGTAGGTGGATCGCCCAGGGTGAGGATCAGCCATTGCACTGCGGCGATCTGACCTCTGTGAATTCTCCACATGGAGAATCTCAACTGCACAATTTATGGTAGTGGGGGACTGCGTCCGCGCTCTCCCCTGGGATCAATGTTACATGATAACGCACCTCTGCAACATATTGATTATTGGTTAAACCAGTACTTAATGCTTTACTAAGTAAAATATTTTAAACGTATTTTATTGTCATGTCTGTTTAATCTGTTAATTCTGTGAAAAAATTTGTGGTTCTTAAAACGAAAATATTGTCATGGCCAGGTTGAAGTTATAAAATCTATTAATTTAGAAAACTAGTCATTAAGGCTGTGTGCTGTCACTTTAATAAAAATATTTTTTCATATTTGCTTAAAACATCTGTGTCATAACAGTGTGAAGCAGTGCATCAATGTTCCAACAGAGGGCGCTGTTGCTCTCGGTAATTGCTGCACTATCGCAATTGTAACATGTTTGTCACATGACTGGAGTGACGCAGTTTTGGGAATCAGTCTCTGGCTGAGTGGTGCGACAAGAGCTACCTGCAGCTGAACACCGAGAAGACCAAGGAGCTCATCGTGGACTTCAGGAGGAACGCTGACCTGCACACACGCTCTTCTCTTTCCTGCCCTCTGGGAGGCGTTACAGAAACCTACGGACCAGAACCACCAGGCACCGGAACAGCTTCTTCCCCACAGCTGTCTCGCTCCTGAACGCCTCCTGACACAAACTATAAGGACGCATTCCCCCACTGCGTCCTTAGAAATATAGAAGAAAAATCAAAATAAACCAACATATAGATGGTTTATAGCTCCCACAATACATTGCGAGAATGCTGAACCATTTTAATGTAATTTTAGTGTTTAAATTTATTTCAAATTACCTACTAATTTGAGAAAATTGTGTTTTTGTAGCAAATTTTCATCTTTGATATTCAAGTATTCAATTCACATACAAAATTTGAGGAATAATAAATTTATGAAAGAGAAATAGAAATAGTGTATTAATTATTTATGTATTAAGTATTTTTATCTGTTCTCTCATGCAAATATCCTTAGTACAAAACTTAAGCCTATTTTAACAAATAATTTCTTAGCATTGATTTAAAACTGATTATTTTACTTCTCTGGAACAATGTCACGTTTTAAGTAAAACAATTTGTAAGTGAAATTTGTACTTTTTAAATCTATTTCCTTAAAATATGCTCCTATCATCCTGAAAAAGTCACTTGTAAATTATTTTTCTCTCACTTTAATGCCATTTGTAATAAAACTAGTTTGTTGATGTTGTTCCGCAGTTTCTCCTGCAGGGGGCTCCGTAGTTCTCCCCACGTTGCGTGGAAATGTTCTCCAACTTGTTCACGGGCTGTGAAAACTTTGATGACGCGCTGAAACGTCACCTCCGTGCGTTCTGTTTGTGTTTTGCCTACGTGTTCATTTCCTGTTTGGCACGTTTTTCCAGGTGCGTCGACCTGCGATCCTCCAGGTGAGCGGTTCTGGTCTCGGACTCTGTGATCTCTGTGTGGAGGGTGTGGACCGGGCCGGAGTGACTGCAGACATGAGGAGGAACAGCTCGCAGTCTTAGGCGGAACTCCACTTCTTCTTTTTCTTCTCCGATTTCCAAGAAAACCAGGTGAGCGAGGAAGGGATCGGAACCGGGACGGTCCAGAATTGGTCATCAGATGGGCCTGCGGTTCTAATGTTGCTCTTCAGGCTGTGGGAAGTCCACGACGTCGCGCTGCTGCTCAGCATCATGCTGCACCTGTTCCACTCAGGTGAGTTTTATATGTTAATCCACATTTCTGTCCAACAGAAGCTGGAAGTTTCATGTTTAATCTGCCTTCCTCCTCGGTGTCGGTCGGGCCTGCAAGGCTTAAATAAACACATTCCAGCAGAACCAGAACTGTTTGTCTTCTCAGAGTATAGAGAAACTCCGGAACCAGTTGGACCTGCTGCATCGCAGCTGACAGAAAACAAACGTGACGTGTTCAGATTTCTCAGATTTCTAGTAAATATTGGAGGTTAATCTCAAAGTTTCAGTTTTTTTTCTTGAAGATTTTCGATTTTTGGTTTCCAAGTCTTTTTAATCACTAATTTTGATTTTTGGAGCTCAGAAACTTCTGGATTAATCCCAAAATGTTTGCAGTTTTTATTTTGGGTAAATCTTTTCAAACTGAGACGTTTCCGTTGCTCTCGTCCTGCAGCAGGATCGATCTCCGTCAGCTCCTCCCAGAGGAACCTGATCCGGTCGGTGCAGGACGATGTCTTCTTCTCGGTGGAGGTGACGTCCTCCGCCGTCCCCACCATCCGATGGAGCTTCATGTCCGGGGCGGTGAGCCGCTCCATCGGCGCCTGGCGGCCCGGCGGCTTCGCCAACGTCTCCCAGGAGTACAGCCACCGGGTGACGGCCTGCGACAACGGCTCCCTGCTGCTGTCCGACCTGAGGCTGCAGGACACCGGGTACTACGTGGTGACGGCCGAGGACCCGGCCGGGAACAGCCGCGACCTCGGCTTCGTCCTCAAAGTGAACGGTGGGTCCTCCAGGTCGTCCTTTCGCCAAACTTTCTGCTAGAAAATGTGAGCTGCAATCCAGCAGACTGAGGCAGATCAACAGTTTGTAAATATCTGAGTCAAAGTTTGATAAACTCCCTTTGCCCAGTGTTAACATATTAAAAGGTCAAAGGTTGTACACTAGAGATAGTTTGTTTTGTGAAGCTGGGGTCAAAGGTTAAATCGGTCTGTCCTGCAGAGGTTCTGTACGAGGATCTGCAGTACCTGTCGGTCACGGCGCTGGCGCTGATGGTGGCGGCGGCTCTGCTCATGGGGGCCATGTGGCTGCTGCACCAGGGCAGCAGGAAGCTGGGGGCGTGGCGACGCCAGCGCCAGATGCCAGGTGAGGCCTTCAAATGCTCACCGGAGAACCAAGGCTGATGCTACGCTAACGCTACTGGCCGGAGGACGGCGTCCCTCAGGGCGGACGTCCGGGCCACGTTTTAAATCATCTTTATAGAAAACCAGCAGCTGGAAAGTTAAACTGAAGTTTTGATTCATTTCTTCACTTTGGAACCAAAAAAAACTTGCTGGAGTTTTTTTGTCCAACACAAAGTGGCCCATGACACTTGGATTAGGACCTATCCACACGTATGTTCCCCTTTTAGTACAATACCCTGAAATAAAAGACTAGTTTCTAATTTAATCTCCGCCTGAATGCTGCTGTTCTGGACAGAAAGAGAAACGGAGGAAATTTCTGCCAAAACTCAGAAGTTTAGAATAATGTCAGAAATGTTCTGGGAAAAAACATGAGTTTGCGGAGTTTCAATATTATAAGTAATTGAGCTTTTTTTAGCTGATTAAAAATGAAAAAAAAAATGGTTCAAAAGATAAACGTCAGAATTCTGAGAAAAACTTTTAAATCTGAGTTGGAATTTTAAGAAAAGTGAAAGAATTCTGAAAATTAGAAATCTGAGAAAAAGTCCTAATTTGGAGGGAAATGATTCTTTTGTTTCTCTAATAATATTCAGAAACATTTGAGTTTCCTTCTCACCAAACAGTTTCAACCTTTCAGTGAAAACATACTGCAGTTCTGCTCTTGCCTTCTGATTTCCCAGAGTCCAGCAAACATCTTGCATCCTGTAACGATTTGAGTTTGTGACTCATAAATTCCCATGTTTGTCCCGCTGCAGTAAACGATGCGACGGAGCTGCAGCGTCTGTGACGGAGCTGCAGCGTCTGCGACGGAGCTGCAGCGTCTGCGACGGAGCTGCAGCGTCTGCGACCAAAACATAAACTCCTGCGGAGTCCATCCTGCCTATGAAGCCCGGATCCACATTTTAAAATCATTTTCACATTCTGAACTGTAAATATACCAGACTTCCCTTATTTATTGTCGAATTAAACCAACCGTTTGAGTTTATCTGAGCTGTGTGGCTTTATTCCCCTGAAACAGGAAACTTTTTCTGTTTGTGAATTTGAGCGTCGAGCTGCAGAAACACAAAGTATTTCAGTCTAGATTGCAGCACTTATAACATTTAACCTCCATGTTAAATGTTATTTTTAAATGATTGTAGATGCATATATATGTATGTATGTCTGTTTTGTTCCTTTTTAGCTGCAGTTAAAAAACACAAAATTTCACCAAGTAACTATTTTTTCTACTGTAAATATCTTCGTCCTCATTATTTCACCAAAACTTGGGAAAATGTCTAATGGGTGAAATTATCTGCCACAACTTTTATCTACATTGAAGAATCAATTATTTAAATGACTTATAATTCAGTTTTGTCTCATTTAAACTGATTTTTACTCGAACAAAATTAAATCTAAGATTTTGTGTTTTTGCCTGGAGAATCTTGAGTTAGAAAAAGTTTCAATCTAAATATTTACGAGTAACTTTTTGGCTTTTTTTTTTTAGCTAAACGATTCCTTAATATTAAACTTTAGTTCCACTGGCAGATTATTTAACTAATAATCTGGGAAAAATGTCAGATTATGAGCGAAACAATCAAAATGATACTTTTTAAAATCAATATTAATGAATTATTGACCTAAATAATCCTAAAATTATTTAGGTAAAACAAGCTGAAAAGTTCTTTGTAAGTTAGTTTTATGCATCTATGATCATCTGAAAATAAAATGAGAGAAAACATTTCAATCGTTGCACCAGAAACTGTAGAAAAATGATTGTTTTTTTTGTGGTTTGTGTTTGAACATCAGATCTTCCTGCAGGTTTGTTGTTTCAAAAACAGCAGCAAACAAAAGTATTTGCTTTTCATTCAAATCCAACATAAATCTGATGGAGCTGAGCGAGAAGGTTGAGTGGAAGGAAAACCGTCGGCTCGGCCTAAGGACAGGGAGTGAGCGCCGCCATGAGGAGCTCCATCTTGTAGACGAAGTTGCGTCCCTCCATCTTGCTCCAGTTGACCTCCTTGTGCGGCCCGCGCAGCTGGCTCCACTTGGCGTCCTGCACCACGTCGCTCTTTGGCAGCTCTTTGATCTGGCTGCGCGGGAACTGGACCAGAACCTTGCAGCCGCTCTCTGGGCCGTTGCGCACTGCAAGGCAAGCAGAGGACCGGATCAGAACAGGAAGCTGTGCTGATCTGAAGAAGCAGGTTTCCTGCTTTACTTTAACTATTCAGTTAAAGGAGAAAAACTTTTCAGGTTTTTGGAGATTTAATTCAGAAAAAATATGGATTTTCTTTCTACTGATCCTCCTTTTGGGTTTTGCAGTAAAGCTGGACGCTGAAGCATTTCATACCAGTCTGTATTGATAAGTTTTTTGGTTTAAATATCTGAAATATTTCGATATTTATACCAGGCTGGTGGTGTGACCTTTCACCTTTCATCCAGTTTTCACTCCATTCTGTTTTTTAAGCAGTTCAAGGGGGGAAACATGGAGCTGTCAACCAGCAGGCTGAACGTCTAAAGTCTGCCTTCATTTCCCAGGATGCAACTTTTAGCAGCCTGAATCACAGACTGATAGAGAAACTATTTGCTCATTTTCCTGTTAATGTTGAGACGTTTTGTGGCCTCCACTGGTTTTGGCTGTTGCAACAGAACCGGCCCGGCGTCGGTGAAGGCCTCACCTGAGATGGCGTATTCTCCGTTGGGGGAAGTGACGGTGATGGCGGAGGCGTTCCCGATGCTCTCCACGGGGCCCAGCCCCACGTGGTTGCTGAAGCTCAGGACGTGCCAGCCCATCACCTTGGCCAGCTGCTGCACGGCGTGCACCTGGTGCTGCGACATCTGAAACGAGGCGCGCCGTCACACGCCGGCCGCTTCCGGGAGCGACTCCGGAACGGCTCCGTACCTGAGAGAGGAGGAAGTCCTGCAGCTCCTGCTCCTGGTGCGACAGCGTGACGACCCGGCCGTCCCGGTGCACCACGCGGATCTGCTCCACGCCGATGTTCAGCTGCAGCTGGATGGACCTGCACGCACAGCGGCCACCGTTACCATGACGGTGAATTTGAGAAACGAAACGGCGCCCGCAATAAAATGCAGAACTGAACCGAATTAGCCGACAGCTTCGATGGAATAAAGAAATAAATTTCAGCCGAAAAATCTCACAGCTTCTTTTTAAAAAAATGAAAAATTTGCTAAAATTATTTTTTTAGAAATTTTATGTAAAAAAACCTCATTTTGATTTGTGAAACTCAGAAATGTTCATGTTTTGTTCTGAGAAGTTTATAACTTCAAAACTTTTTTCTAGAAAACTGAATCCAAAAATGTTTCTCCTTTTTTTCCAGCAGCTTTGCAGGAACTCAGTTTTATTCTAGAACATTTCTGAGTTTTTCTTCTAATACATCTTCAAGTTTTGAGCCTCGGGATCGTCGTGCTGCTGGAATCTCGCTCTGCTGAATTTGTCTGATTAGTGATAGAATGACAGGAAATCTGAACCTCCAGCTGCTGATTTATTCAGTTTCTTTGATTCCAGCGAAACTGAAAACTTGTTGGGTTAATAAAATCAAATCCAAAACAAAAAGACTAATTAGGGAAGAACAGCGTTGCCTTCCCAGAGGCATCAGACTCACTTGCAGATTTGCTCGTAGCCGTGCGACGTGATGAGCACCTTGACGCTGGACTCATAAACGTCGTTGATGTTGGACCAGTGGGCCTGGATCTGAGGGTCCTCGATGCGGCTGGCCAGGCTGTCGATGGTCCGAGCCGTCCTGCAGAACCGACCCGTCAGAAACCGACCAATTCCTCTGAACGCATCTTTACCGTGAGCAGGACCGGAGCCGCAAGGCTCCGCGCTCTGATCGTTCATTTAATTTAAAATATGTAACTGGTGTCTCAATAAACAAGAAGAAAGATTTGCATTGTTTTGTCTCGTGGCAGAACTTTAACGATTAATCAATCAATACATTTGTTGACAATTATTTAAAAATTGATTCATCCGATGAATTGTTTCGGTTCTGAATTCAAAATCAAAACAAACACAAGCTGTAAAACAAGATGGCCGTCCTGACATCACTCTGAACCGCAGAAACTCAGGAGATCACAAAAGAAATTCAGACTTTCCAAAAACTAAATCTTTAAAAACCAAGAATGTGATTAATTGCTAAAAGCAGTTTATTGCTGGCCTAGTTAAAGCACGACGGCGCTACCTGCTGCGCAGGAAGATGTGTTTGGCCTGTTTGATGATCTTCTCCAGCAGCCCCTCGCTCTGCTGCAGGCTGGCGATCTCGGCCTTGTCGTACGCCATCGGCCCCGCCAGCCGCAGACGCTTGTGGCCGAACGGCGCGCTGGCCGGATGCGGCATCACCACCGAGCTCAGCTGCTGCTTGTGGAACTGAAACGGGCAGAACGTCAGCGGGTCACTTCCCGCGAGTCCGACTCGCACATCCTGCGGCGCCGCACCGTCACCTCTCTCATCATCTGGTGCAGATTGTGCTCCAGGACGTAAAGGTGGTCGTCCGGTTTGGGTTTCTCCGGAGACGCCCGGCTGCTCTTCTTCTCCCCGGCGGAGTGGCACAGAGAGATGGAAAGCTGCAAACCTGCAGACGCCGACGAGACGGAAAAGAAACTTTAGCTCCTCCAGCAACAGCAGAAAACCCAGAAACTTTATTGGACGAGGTTTTGAATCAGCCTGACATGAACAGGAAGTCAGTAAAGAACCACACTTTTAGTGGACCCGGGTAAATTAAAAACATTTTTTAAATGTATTTAAAAATGTTGCATTTTAAATAAACAAAATGTATTAGTTTAAAATAAATGAATGAAATGATCCTTTATTGATCGGATATTTATTGTTCGTTTTATTCCAGATTATCAGGGAATACTTCATTAACGTTCCACTTTTTCCAGTTTGTAAAATAAAGGACATCTCAGACCGATCTACAGTTGAGATGAAGCGGACGGTTTGGACCCGGTTTGGGCCCGGGCCGGGTTCTGACCTGGGAACGGCTGCGAGATGATCTGGTTCTTCACCACGATGTGCGGGATCTGCGCTTTGATCTGGACCGCTTCTCTGGAAAGCTGCGCAAAGATTTCCTTGCAGAGCAGGACGTTCTGCGCCGCCTCCAGCTTCACGTGCCACGGCTGCGTTCCTGGGGAAGGAGAAGGCAGACGGACGTCAGCAGACGGACGTCAGCAGACGGACGTCAGCAGACGGCCCGTCTGGTTCGGAGCCCGGCCGGGTCAGAACCGGACCTGCTTTGCTTTTCTGAGGTCTCCTGAAGAGGTTGACGGTTCCCAGGTCACCGATGTCCGGAGCCTGTTTCTGAATGGAGACCTGAGGACAAACACAGCCGCCATTTTTATTTCCACTGCAGCCGATTTGACAACTTGCAGCTTTGATGCAACCAGGGATCATTTTACCAATCGATTAATCGGATCAAAAGGTTTTTGTTCAAATCTTTTCATAGAACATTAAAAATACATTAAAAGATAATAATTTTTAAGCAGTTAATTTCAAACTGCGGCTGGAAATTCATCAGGATGTTGTTGCTAGGTAACTGAAGGGAGGGGTTGGGGGGGTAGAGAAAGACTTTCCTTTTCCTACATCTCCCAGAATGCTGTGCGGCTCTGGATCAAAGTTCAGTGGATTTCAGAATATTGATGCTGATCAATGATCTGGCAATGTACCTCGTTATTGATCTACTTACTACATCAACATGTGAAAAGCTCTGCTGACTAATTACTTAATTAACAAATTAATAATTAGTATTTTTATAGATTTTGACATGAAACTAAAACTACATTCAGTGATAGGTAAATTAGTTGGTGACATCATGGATCGATTGATCCTGATTAATCCTGATTGATCCTGATTAATCCTGATTAATCCTGATTGATCCTGATTAATCCTGATTGATCCTGATTGATCCTGATTGATCCTGATTAATCCTGATTGATCTCTCCAGCACAGCAGAGTTTAATGTGGAAACATGTTTCTGCGCGGCCGGGACGCAGACCTTGATGTAAGCCGATCCCTCCAGGTCGCTGGGGATCTGGACGTCCAGCGGACAGTAGTCCTCTGGGATCTTTTTGTCCAGATCGATGTCGGTGTTTTTGATCACCTCAAACGTTCCGGGGTGAGGAAAGAGGGAACCTGAACGAGTCAGTCGGAGGTTAAAAAGCTAAAATAATCAGTAATGTGTTGGAATTCATCAGTTCTTTACTGATCTGCGAGGTTTTTTCTCACCTGCGCTCCGGTAGCTGAGGTCTCCCAGGATCTTGTCTCCGACTTTTCGCAGTTTCCACTGCGATCGGAGTCGCAGCAGCTCGGCGTTGAAGTCGCGCTGCCGCCGGTTCTCCTGGTTCTCGGCCACGGACTTGCTGAGCTTCTCGGCTCCTTTCAGGAGGAGCTGCGCCGCCGTGGCCAGAGATTTCTTTTTGCTGATCAGCTGGAAAACCTGCGGCGTCTGCAGAACCGACAAACGGAACATTCTAACAGCGCCAGAAGGAAGAAAAATCATGTGCATTTGCAATTTCATCTGCTCTGTTTTCATATAGTTTTTGTTTTAAAATAAGAAGTGAACATGAGATCCAAACAGATCCAAACCGGCTCAAACCAGAACAGCCAAAACTGATTAACTGGAAAAACAGGAGAAAAACAAATCTTTGCTTCAAAATGAGCTTCATCACAACAGATAAAAATCTACTGAATATTTCATAAGATATAAAACATAATTGTAGATGCCTTTTCATTGACGGTAAATTAAAGACCAGGAGACGTCTTTGTTTCATAAACACTAACTGGTGAAGTAAACTAAAAACGTAAAGCTGGTGATTATTCTGATGTTTGATGAGGATTTTTGTCAGCTTACTTTTCCGACGCTCGGATCCTGAGACACCGGATCCAGAGCCATGTACTTCTTCTCCTTCACCACGCTGAGCACGTCGTGGAGCACACACATCTCCGTCAGGGCGCTGCGCAGATTGTTGCGCACAGAATCCCAGGGCCAAAGAGACGGCTGGAACTTCACCGTGCCTGAAAGAAGCAACCATGAAGCCTCACGTCTGTCGTCGCTTCCGGCTGGAAGACGTTCCTCCTACCTTCCTCTTCCTCCGTCTCCTGCTTGCCCCACTCCCTGTCCCTGGGCTCCCCGTCGGCCCCGTCCTCCTCGGAGTCAGAGCCCTGGCTGAAGTCGATCCTCTGTGCCAGCTTGGTCAGGTTCTGGGACATGGACAGAGGAGGGACGTACGTCTCCGTGCCATGGAAGTCCACTTCCTGCACCTGCTTCTCACAGGACGACTCGATGCTGATCCTGACAGCCGGACCGCCCGACATGATGAGGCCGGAGCTGCGGAGAGGAAGAGGAGGAGCCAACGCCATCAGCTCACTTCCTGCTGGTTTAAAGGGTTAAAGCTGCAGCTGCTTTGATAAAAATGTGATTTTTTTCATTTTTTATATTTTTGCTAAAATAATGTCATGATAGCAGTTGCATAGTAACTAATTACATTTATAAAATTACATTTACTTGAGTAACTTTTAAAAAAGATAATAATTAGGAGTATTTTTAATACTCTGTACTTTTTATTTTTCAGTAATTTATTATGAAGTATTTCTACTCTTACTTGAATAAAATTTCTTGGTTTTCTATCCACTGAATGAAAAACAGACATCTGATGATGTTATTTTTAAACATCAAATGATTGATAGTTTCATCAGTTTCTCAGCTCTTGACTCGACTTTTTATCAAATACTTTTTACTTTTACTTGAGTAAAAATATATTAAAGTAGTGATACGCTTTCTGCTTTCTTGCAGTAATAGCTACAGAAATACAGCACTCCGTCAGAAACCACCAATCAGGGTCTGCAAGAGGGTCTTAGCGCTGTCAATCAAGCTCGTGCTTGTAGAAAACACGCTTAAAAACCTACGAAAATATAAATTTGCATTTCATCCCTTTTTTTGTCAGTAAAATGTAAATATTTGTGATCAACTTGGTTTAGAGGTGGATAAATATGATTTATGATTCAACTGAACATCTTCAATCTGCCTCCAGAGCTCCGGGAAAATAATAGAAACCTTCTTGTTGCTCTTTTATCAAATGGACTGTTGTATTTGACATCATCAGGTTCATCATTTGTAGCTGGATTCATTGTTTTCTTTAGGCAACATAGCAACATTAGCTCACATTAGCTGTTCGTTAGTCCAACGGAATATAATAAACACCAGAACTCAAGAGAACAGAAACTACATGAGAAAATATTTAATCGAATAAATCTCACCTGTTAATCAGAATACAACCGAATAAAAGCGGTTATTCGCTGAAATTAGCCAGATCTGGAGCTCCGTGTTGCTTTTGCTCTCCTCAGAACGCGAGAACTACAGGGTCTGCATCACTTAAATGCCGGGGCACTTGAATAGTCTGTCCTCGTCAAGCGGGCGGGTAACAACCACTAAAACACTCCCACTTTATTTTAATGGGCTCACCTTCAAACATAACAGGGTTCTCTTTACCCAAGCATTTATTAGGTGTTTATGCGGCAGCATGCTTTCCCGTGGGGATAGGCCATAAACTTATGCCCGGTCAGTAACTTGTTTGGGGATTATTTATATTGCTTTTTCCTAAACTGTATTTTTATTTATTTATTTATTTATTTTTGCAATGTACAGTTGAATAAACCGGCAAAGTAAGCTTAGTACTCCCTTCATTATGAGATTCTTCAGCCTACTGGGATCAATTTTAGTTTGTGATCGATCGCCTCCCGTGAGGGAAGTTATCGAATTGTCTGCCGGTGAAAGAAAAATGGTGCAGATCCGGTGTCACAATGTCATAGCTCCCCTGACATTTTTCGTAACTCCCCACCTCCAGTACTATTGGCTATTGACTTCTTAAGACTTAAGTGCTTCAAAAATGTTGGAATGAAGTTATTGTTATTTTAATGCAATTACAATTTAATAATATAGATTTATAAACCAGAAAATGGTTGTAAGTAGGAACCAAAATGCTTGAATGCCACGGCGGTCAATTTAAACCACCGGATATGACGTTTGGAACACAAACGGTCGGTTTTGTTCAACGGGTTAGAGTTCTATTTGAAAAAGTAGAGCACTTAGCTGCTTTTTTCTTTTATTTATGACATAACTAAGGTTTTATTTCACGCTTTAACCGTCGGACTACGTTACGATGGTTGCGGCGGCTCGAAAGGAACGTGGTTTGGACTCTGAGAGAAGTCATGTTAGCCTAATTAGCATCCAGACTGGCTTTTGTGAAAGTGCCCGGTGGCATTTTTGAGGAAAATGAAGAGGAAAGTGTCGAGATTAAGATTGAGTCCCAACGAAGAGGCTCGTGTGATACGCGAGGAGCTTGACAGGCGGAGGAAACTCCGGATCCAGCAGGTAATGGTTGGTTTTAGCAGAAGGTTCTGTCGCTTCAACCCAGATTTCAATAATTATTCTGTTTGTTTTAATCCAGTCAGATTCAAACCAAATTACTGTGCTTTTAAAAATGAAATGTTAAAAATTTACCTATTTGAACAAATAAGCTCTGTTCAGCTTGATCCAGAGGAAGCGTATGGTGACAGTGGAAAGAAACAACTCTCTTTTCACAAGAAGAAAACCCCAGAAAACCAAAATCAGAAAGAATGGCAGGAACAGGAGTACTTTCTATGTTGAAACTTAGACTTAGACTTAGACTTCTTTTATTGTCATTGTACAAAAAAAAAACACAAGGTGAATCTTGACAACGAAATGTTGTTACTTGGCTACCAGTGTAGCAGAGCTAAAACCTTAAACTACACAATAAATAAATAAATACAATACAAGTGCCATAGAATACACAGGTTCAGTGTTGTGAAAAAAACTAAACTAAAGTGCATGTATTGACCATGTCCATGGGGGGGTGATTTGGTTTGAGAGTGTGTGGAGGGGTGTTATGTGGCGTTAAGCAGTCTGATGGCCCGGGGGAAGAAACTGTTCAGTAGTCTGGTTGTTCTGCACAAGATGCTGCGGAACCTTCTTCCAGACGCCAGGGGGGAAAACAGTCCATGGTTGGGGTGGGTGGGGTCGGAGAGGATCTGGTGAGCGCGAGATAGGCAGCGCCTCTCTGCGATGTCCTTGATGCAGGGGAGCAGAGCCCCCGTGATCTTCTCCCCTGTCCTCACCACCCTCTGTAGAGACTTCCAGTCAGAGGCCCTGCAGCTCCCAGACCAGATGGAGATGTAGCTGGTCAGTTGGCTCTCGATGGTCCCTCTGTAGAAGGTCTGAAGGATGGGGGGCGGTAGGGATGCTCACTTCATCCGACGCAGGAAGTGCATGCGCTGCTGGCCCTTCTTCACCAGTGAGGAGTTGGTTCTGAAACTTCGTCCAAAACCAGTTTCTGACATGACGTTGTGCGTTGGATGTCCAGGTGCGGGAGCAGCAGCGGCAGATCGCGCTGCAGATCCGGCGGGACGTGGAGCAGCGCCGGCAGCAGGAGCTGCAGCAGCTGGAGGAGCAGCTGAGGGAGGACTGGGAGAGGCGTCAGAGGGAGAAGCTGCACACGCTGCAGAGTTTGTATCTGGAGAGCCTGCAGCTCATCGGCCAGAGCCACAGGAGCGCCACGGAAACCGTGAGCTAGCAGAGGCTTCCTAGCTTAGCAGTGAGAAACACGATGCTGTGGAGCCAGAATCTGGCTAACGTAATAAGCTAAAAGAAAAGTTTTATATTCCTGTTTCAGGAAGCTCAGCTGGCAGCTGCAGCTCAGGGGGAGGAGGAGCATCATGCCAAAGCAGAGGAGCGTTACCGTGAAGCTCTGAAGGAACTCAAGATCCAAAAGACTAAAGAGCAGGAGAGACAGAAACGGTAAGACCTGAAAGCTGTTAAAACATTTGAGTTGGTTCAGAACGATAACTTCCCTCCTTCATTTGTAGATCCATCAATGCGAGGAAGAAGGCGCTGCAGACGGAGAAGGAACGATCAGCAAAAGTGGCCAGACTCCCGCCGCCTCCGCCTGATCCCTTCCAGGTGCTTTCCCTGCAAAATTCAACCGTTTTCCTACTCTAGCAGATTTATTTGGTCCAAATATCGGTGGCCAACCGGCACTCAAAGTTTTATCACCATATTTTGTGGAACCATTGCAATAAAACTAGCTGTGGTTGCAGGACTCAGGAATCAGTTTGTTTCTTTAGGACAGCAGTCAGATGAAGAGTGTTGTCTGAGTGTTGACTGTTTCCTGGTTGGAGCAGGACATCGATCCCAGGAAGTCCCACATGGTGAGGAGGTCGGATCTGAACGCCTTCGCTGCCACACGCTACCACATGCCAGAGAGCGCCGTGGCGAAGGAGCCGGAGGAGCTGCAGGTCAGAGAGCCGCTTCTGGTTCTGCTTCTGGTTCTGATGTCTGCCGACTTTAAGCTCTGGTCGTCTCTGCAGCCTGACGCCAGACTGGAAGCTGACCTGGAGACCAGGAGGCTGCAGGATCTCCAGAGAGAGGAGGAGAGGAGGAGGGAGGAGCAGCTGGAGAAGGCCCGGGTCAGAGGGAGGCAGGCCCTGAGGAGGGAGCAGCTGGAGCACGTACGCCTCCAGTTCTGAAACAGATGGTAGTTTTTATGCTGCAGACGTTTTAACAGCAGCCTCTGGTCTCAGGACCGGGATCGCCTCCTGGTGGAGTTGCAGCACCTGCAGCAGACGGATCTGCTGCGGCGGAGGCAGCAGGTGTCCCGGATGCCGCCACAGATCTTCCAGCCTCTCTACCAGAGGCAGGAGGCCAGGGAGGAACTCCAGAGGGAGCTGGAGTTCGCCTTCGAGGACATGTACACCGGAGAGAGACGTGAGGGCTGCTTCTTATGCATTCAGATCTCTCCAGTGTTCACTTCAGCTGAACCCAGACTGAAGTTTGTACATGGGCCAGCGTTAGCTTAGTATTCACATCTCACCACCAAACCGGAGTTTCTGGCGAACCGGAGGGGAGTCGGATTAAAGCGGATTAGACTGGGCCGGTGTGAACGCATCCTTAGTCCTCAGCCTCTCTGCATCTCAGTCGTTTCTCTTCTCAGGGGTTAAAGGTGACCTGGTGGTCCAGCTGGTACCGGAGCCTCTCCCAGCCTCATCCAGCTCCGGCCAGGACCTGGACCTGGATCAGGACTTGGATGTCACTGTGGATGAAAATGCCGAGCCCAAAGCAGAAAATATTCAGAATGACTTTGGGGACGAAGTTGAAGGCGGAGAGCAGGAAGCAGCAGATGGTGAACAAAGTTTTGGCTGAAAACTCCCTTCATGTCAAGTCTGCGTCTCGTTTCACATCAAACTCTCTCCCGCAGGCGCAACTCCTCCCAGACAGGCGCTCCGGAGACTCCTGGATCGGATCCGGAACCAAAGGACCGACTGGATCAACGGCCGCAGCCGAGATCCTGCAGCGGATTCTCTGTCTGTCGACACAGAGCTGATCCCAGAGCGAGACCTGAGCATCGAAACCGGATCTCTGACCCCCGAGCCGCTCAGTGAGCCCCCAGCACCGAGTGCGTCTGTTTGCTTTGTCTCCGATAGACTCATGACGATGATCACAGTTTTAAGCCGTTCGCATCATTTCCTGAAATCAGGATTTTTCTCTGACATTAATGTTTCTATTTCAACTGTTTGTGTTTTTTGTGTGTTTGACTCATGCAGAACCAGCAGAACCGCCACGCGCAGCAGAACGTTCACTCCCTGCTGATTTTCTGAGCAGAATCCAGGAAGCCGAAGAAGAACGGAAGAAGCGGGTGAGAGGAACGGTTAAAATGTCTTATTGTTGGCTTGTCCTGATATCAAATTCTCCCAGAAATGAAACAAATGAGAATGTTGATGTTTTGAGGCCATTTTAAGTCCTATAATGATAAAGTGTTGACTTACGGAATGGAGGCTTATATTTTGAAAGTCTTCACCGTTTGTTTGACAGGAAGCGGAGCTGGAGGTGGAGAAGCAGCAGCAGGTTGCTCTCCTCCAGGAGCTGGAGGAGCAAAAAGCTGAGCTGGAGCAGATGCTGCAGGAGGCTCAGAGGGAGCGGGAGCAGCTGAGAGCTGCTGCCCAGCAGGAGGCGCTGCTCCTCCAACCACAGGTTCCTGTCCAGGACCGCTCCCCGATCAGCTTAACCTCTGAGGAAGAAGTAGGTCCAGCATGTCCGAACAGGATGGTGGTGGAATTACTGCAGCATATTCCTGCAATATTTAAAGTGTGGACAGCATGAAATGTTCAGCTCATGTTTTCTTTTCTTTTTTTAATTCCTTAACACCAGATATTGCCATAAAATGCCACATATTTTTATGCCTTTGATGAAATTATGTTGCATCATGTTTTCCACTTTAAATCTGATTCCAAACCTGAAAGTGGGATTTTCTGTTTGCGAGTCTCACAGAAGAAAACGAGGAGAAACAGACCAAAACATTGTTAGCATTAGCTTCTGCCATCATTTTATATTTATTTAGCAGTTTTGGGTTAGTTTCTGCTGATGCGTTTAATGTGTTTGGATGTTTAGTGAATTAGAGGTTAATGATCTGAACGTTTTGGTTGCTAGTGCTCAGCACTAGCAACATCTGCTGTCGATTTTACTGCAGAACTTAATGTTTATCGCTGACCATGGTGGCCATCTTGAAAAAAATTATTAGGAAATATAATTTATATGAGACCAATAATATATATTTATATGTAATAAATATTGGGGGGAAAATTTTTTCTTAATGTCCATCTTGAAATTTTCACTGGCTGACATTTATTTTCTGCATATTCAGTGATGACTTCCTGTTTCCTGCAGGCGGCGGCTTCTGCAGAGGAAGACGTGTCCACCATGCGGCTCCGACGGTACCAGCAGCGCCTGCTGGAGCAGAACAGGTGCGACTCGTTTCTCCTTCAGCTCCGTCTGAAGCGGCGCTGCTCCGTCAGCCCGACTGAACGAAGGCCATCTTTCAGGATTCACCAGAGATCCGTGGAAGTGGCCCGGCAGCGGCTGGAGGAATACCAGCGAGCTCTCCGGATCCGCCACAACCTGACCGCCGCCTCGCTGAGGACTCCCGTTCACCCTGTGCTCCTCGCTCCCCCGTCTGAAAGTCACCCTTCAGACGTGTCACTTCCTGCTTCCAGCAGCAGCGGCGGCTCCAGCGTACCGTCGGATCCGTCCACTACGAACCGGTTCAGCTCACCAGACGCTGCTCCGCTCGCCGACAGCCGGAGGTGAGCAGAGGATCCAAAAACTGTTCTCATCTGAGAGTAAAACATTTATATTCAAGTACTGAGTAACTGATCAAATTATCAATCATTTAATACTTAAAAATTACATCATCAAATTTTGTTATTTTAAAGAACAGAATAAAAATAATTATTTATAATTACAAAATAAAAACACTTTTCTTGTTCAAAATCAGTTTCTTTCAATAGAAAACTGATGAAACATTAACAGAATCAGTCTGATGACTTTCTGGTTCATGTTTGTTTTTCATTCAGTGGGAAAAAAATCCAGAAATTTAAGAGTAGAAACTTTTTGAAAACTGTTTTTTTAATACTCTGTATTTTTTACTTGTAGTTTTATTAATGAAATGATTGATAATTTGATCATTCACTCAATACGTTTTTTAAAAGCAGTTAAAAAAGTTCATTATTTCAACAAAGTTACTGGAGTAAATGTAACTGTAATCCGTCTCTGCGGCAGCGAACCGGAGCGAGTAGCGAAGCGTCTGCCGGACAGACCGAGAGCCTCGCCGCCCGCTGCCATGCCGTACCGACCCGACGCCGGGTCAGCCGGCACCTCGGCCACCTTTGACCCGATGACCCCGACCTCCAGAGAGG